TGTAAAATGTGTCATTTTTTTTTTTTTTTTTTTTAATTCCCTAATTAAAATATTTTTTTTTTTTTTTCCACAGAAAAGGAATTGACCATCACACTTTCGAGAAATTTTCCACTCACTTGCAAGAGAACGGCTAAATGCCACATACGAACTAAATTCTCGTCTAGACGAGCATCTCTCAGAAAAAAAGGTAAGAATGTAGATGTAGTTTGCATACTCAGCAGCTCAATTAAAATTCTCCTTTGGTTATTCGACATCCCATCACGCGGTTTGCTGCAAAAAACAATCCCCACACTTCGGTATATAAAAGTATGCGATACCTATTCACTTTTAAAGAAAAACGGGAGAGTTTTTTAAGGGCACGAGCTGCTGCTTTGATGGAAAAAAGATCCTTAGTACACACTATATACGTACCGTCGGCGTCAGTACACATTTCACTCGATGTTTGCTCCGTAGACTATAAATATAATCCCCGGGCGACGTCTATTCACGTGCGAGCAAGTGGCTTATCATTTTTGCACGTGCGTGATAATAGCCTTTTTTCCTACTCGTTCCTCAAACCCGTGAAAATACGCACAATCGCGTAAAAGTCGCTGATTTACATTTTCGCGTGTCAATCGTAACTTGGATTTGTTGACTCTCGAGGAGACGGACTTATGGTTGGATGATTGTGGATGTAAATATGGGGAAAAAAAAACAATATTTGTCTTGTACTAAAAATAAAAAATAAAAAATAGAAAAAAAAATTTTTCTCGACAGGAAACATTACGCTTCTTAACGATTTCCACGCATTGTGTGCTGAAAATGGATGATTATGAGCGTACGTTATCGCTTTGTGAAAACCGTGAATCATCCGTTTTGTATACACGATTTTGCTTTGCTGCGAAAATCCAACACGTTCAACTCGTGCTGGTGTTTGTAAAAAAAAAAAAGTTTATGCTTCATAGCATTGAAACTCATTAACATTGCGAGTACTAACAACTGAAAAACGATAGGTATCGGTATACAGCCATCGCAAGGTGGGTGTTAATGGTTTACATTGTAAATATCGAAGTAGTACTAATTGCAAACGACAAACCAAGCAAATAATAGAATCAGTTCATGATCGAAGGATGATTTATCGAAGAAATAGTGTCAGCACGTGATAGTCCTTTGGACGCAAAAGATGTGTACACAGTGTTGGCAGTTTCAGACGCGTTTCACTAATTGCACGTTAGATCTCGTTGTTTAAATGCCAAATGGGACGCGATAAGTGTGCAGTACACACGTGAGCGGCATCGGGTGACGTCAGAATCTTTTGTATCTACACACACACGTGTACAGACGTTGAACATTCGCAGTTATTATGCAACGCTTTTGCGAGCACGCGGGTTCGTAGATCCATATCGCCTCGGAGTTGCGAATTCAATTAAACGTTACCTGCAGGGCAGGCAAGGACGTTCGTTTGAACATCCGATTTTATCACTATACTCGTGTATTATGCCTATCAAGGATCAGTTTGTCTCTACCTCTAGAGAGGGAGTGAGAGAATTATTTTAAAATATTTTTCTCTAATTAACGCGGTCGTTTGTCATTTTTCGTTAACATGAGACAGTGAACAAAATAGTTTTTATTTTTTTGAGAATTTTTAATACGTTTGTCTTTTGTGGTACATTTTCGAGATTATTTTTAATCATTTTTTAGAGGAATGAAAACAACAATCACATCATTCAAAAAATAAAATAAAATGTATCGATCTACAATTTGTCCCGAAAATCGTTAGGAAATTCTCATTTCTGGCCCTTTTAGAAAACTTTCAAGGAATACAATTCTTTCGAATGTCCTCTTAAAACGACTCCAAGTAATATTACTGCCATTAATCTTATCACCTTAGTTTTAAAAATACATCTAGCTACAATAGCCATGCATCGAAATGTTATAGCAGTTATACTTGGCAAAAAAAGCACTGCCCCAAGATAAAAAATTTTTCAGAAATGAAAAAAAAAAAAAAAAAAATATGATTGATATGAAAAAATTTACCCTGGCAGATGAGCGCTATACCCCTGCCGGAAGAACTCCTGGCGCTCCTCCTCGGAGACAGCTTCGAATACCATGTTACGCTCGCTTCGATCAAACAGCGAAGGAAGACATGCCACGTTATCCTCGCACACTCAAAATACACTTTGATCAACTATCCTCACGTACCTATACACCACAGAGGTATTTTTTTCGCTCGAGCAACCGAGGAAACACTCTTCCCAGCACCGGCAATTTTCCTTCGATTTTCACGTAAAATACTTATTGCCCGAGTGACCGGAAAAAGAAAAAAAGAAGCTTGAGAAAGGTGCGAAAAAAAAAAAAACACCCGGTGATGGTAAACAGAAAAAATAAAAAATAAAAAATAAATAAAACAATTCAGCGAGAGCTCGCGCGGCTATAATATATGTCCCCTCGAAAACGCAAGTACACAATGATATTATAAGTGCAGGCAGCGGAGAGCCAGTCGTTTCAGGCCGTTGGCGCGCTAGTGAAACAGAACTGTGTGCGGTCGGACCGGCGTACAGAGGTACACCTTTTTTACCCCCCGGCCGCGCTCCCTCCTTATATACATATATATGTACCGTATATCGCGAGCTGGGCATCGTGTGTTGTGTCCTACTAAAAAACTGAGCGCGCAGAGTGCCACTCCATGTGCTTATCTATACATATGTACACATAGTCCGGCTCTACTTCCGTACAAAGTACGAGTGACCATGTTGATGTAACAGCGAGCGCGGGTTTTACTGCTCGATTTGTTTTTCCTTAATTTTTATGCGAATTTTTCATTTGTCTTATCTACATGTACCCGAGATTCCGACATTTTTCACTGTTCAACTTGTAGAGATGGCATTGCTACGGATTATTGCTGAATGGTGTTAATTTAATGACGTTAATGGTAAACGATTACTTTGTTCATCGTGATGTGGCTGTGTGCCATTGAGGACAGTTGCAGCAAAAATATCAAAATAAGAATAAAGCTTTTGAAACAATTTACTTTTGAAGATTACTTCCTGATTCAGATTTAATAAAATACGTGATCATTAAAATAAAATAAATCAATAAAAGCTACTAAAGACTACTAAAAATCTAAGAGGGAAAATATAAATTTATACTGTTTGTGGCAAAAAATGTTTAAGCGAAGATAAATTGAAAAGATATTGCTGGTACCTACGCGTTGAGAGGTTGCGTGTTGTTGCATGTAGAGTCCCCTAAAACTAATTGTCATGATGATGAGACAATTTTGCTTCTGCGGTAGCAAAACGGTGCTGCACGAGTGTCTTCGACTTGATCAAATATATTTTTGTAATGAAGGCATAATTATACACTAAAATATTTTTATTCAATCGGAACATCCAAACTGTTGTACAATAATGGTTAGGTATATAGTCACATTAATTCTTTTTTTTCTCATAGAAGAAGCTTTATAATGGTAAAAATTTAATTTTCTGTAAAATGTGTCATTTTTTTTTTT